CTATCCAGGCAGAAAGCTGAATAAAAGAGCAAGGGTAGAGGTAAAGAAAGAACGAAAGAAGGAGAAAGAGAGAGCAAAACTCTAATTCTCAGTGTCCTTACGTACCTCCCTTTGCTTGTACGTGGCGTGCCAGAGCATCATGAAATTACGGTTCTTCATGCACTCAACCACTCGACTCACATGGTGTACAGTCATGCAAATCCCTCAGTCACTATGTCACTTGCCCGCATGAGAGTCGTAATGTACACTGAGCACTGAATATGTTGCGAGGATAATTATTTTTATTTCTTTATTAGCTTATATGTTCATTTCTTCGTTTATTTGATTTTTTTTTTCTTTGCTCTCCTTTTAGTATTTAAATTGGCTTGGCTTATCCAATTATACAGTTTTAGATGCAACTGTGGTAACTAGGAATTAGTTTTAGAATTAATTGTTAAGATTTGATAATGTATGATATATTTAGCGTTAGATCATTATCAAATGGCGCTTCTCTCATTTACATGGCGATGTTCTCTCACCCCCAGACGAGCGCTCGAGCAAGGGCGTGCCCTACCAGTACCAGAGTCTCCCGCAGCTCCATGCAACCACGTCTTCTCACTCTCCACGCCCTCTGTGCTGGCCTCACGCCCCTCCGAGCACGCCCTCCCTCGCTTCATCGCCCGCGACAGCTCCGCAGCCTTTGTACGCCAACTGCCAGCGCGGGAAATGCTCCGAGGCGTCGCCCGCAGGCCGCGCCCTCGCTGCCTACCCGGGCGGCTGCTGGGTGAACGTCAACCCTCCGAGAGCCTCCGTCGGGGCCTCGCGCGGAAGCAATTACCCGCCGTTCCCCGAGGAAGCTTCCGCCTCACAGGACTCCGGCAGGATCTCCGTGGCTTCCCCCGTGCTTCCCCCGCTTCCGCCAGGCGTCCTCCTGGAGGCCAGAGCCAGCTCCCCCGCCAAGGCCCACAGCATTGACGTCAGCCCTCCAGAGGATAAGCTCAATTTAGCTTCCATTTGTATCCTCTCTCTGGATTTGACCGTCGACTGCGAGGAATTTAGTGATAATGGCTTTCCACTTGTAACTGTCAGAGAGAATGGACATGACGACGAAAACGACGACACAGGAGCAGCCACGCGCCGTTCGCCCCCAGCCCGACCGGAGGGCGAGGCCGAACGCAAGGACGACGGGTCTGATGGGACTCCTGTCGAGGCAGACACAGGCATTGGGTCGTCGTCGAGTCACAGCAGTAGCTCGAATTTCGACGAAAAGTATTACGAAAACGATGATTACGACACGGTCGATGACGGAGTGTGCGTCGCCGAGGAGCTGTCAGACAGGGATATCATGTCAGACCACGATGACGCACCTGACTCGAAAACCAGCCTGTCCAGCAAAATAGACAAATTGATCAGCTATGACGATGACGAAGACGACTACATCGAGACAGACTGCGACGTGAAGCCGATGGAGACGTTGAAGCGGCCCCTCGTCTACGGCTACGGCAGCGGCCCCGTCAGAAGCCTGCGCGGGTCTTCCTTCCTGGAGAAGAGGCTCTCGCAGGCCTCAATCGTCTCCGAGCACATGGAGATGGACCTTGCAGAGTCCTTGCTCTCGTCCGAAGTCTTGGCTCACAGCGAGAGTTGCGTGAGTCTGAAGGAGACTTACTGGGATCATTATCAAGCCACGAAGGAGAGAATTGACCGCGAAGGGCTGAACGGCAAGTGGCAGGCAAAGAACCCCGACCCTTGTCCGTCGGCGAGGTTCTGCTACGATCCGGAAGTACTGCTAGCACAGGTGCGGTGTCCGAAGTCCCTTGAAGACGCGACCTTCAGGCAATACTCAGCCTTCATGACGTCCCACATTTATGATCACTTCGGGAACATCCATGAGAACCTCAAGGAGTACGGACTGAGCAGCCGCCGTCCGGGTTGGATCTCCAGCCAGCCCGAGCTCCCCGACGGCCCGAGGCACGAAGCCCCTTCCGAGATGTCGTCCCTAGACTACAACAGTGAGCCGGAACTCACTTACTGCCACGAGCCCCGTCAGCCCCCGGGACTGTCGGCACAGTGCCACACCGCCCGCGCTCCTGCCCCGCGCCCTCCCCCTCCACCTTGCCAAAGCAGAGGTCCTCTTCTAGACTCTGGCGTGTGGACGTACTTCCACCCTTCTGAGGGGACATCGGTGGCCTCCTCACCCGGCCAGCTTCCTGTGGCCATGCCCCGCTCCACATCCTCCTTGAGTCACGTAGCCCCTGGCGGGTACAATCCTTGGTCCCATCTCCTGCCCGACGTCACACCTCCGAGGACTCCCCGGCACAGTGAGTTAACATCGCATTTTAGGAAGGAAGAGTGTCACTGTATATCTAGGATGTCAGTCACATATCTGGACATCTATTGCATGCTCACCGTTAGGCAGTGTAGGTGCCTCTTATAACTTATTAAAACGCACAATCTTCCTTTAGACTTTCAGCATGTATGAATGTACTTTCCCTTTTCCTCCAGGTATTTACCTTCAACCTGCAATAGGATCTGCAACCAGCTCCCCGAGCAGGTCGCGGCCGACGTCCCCGACCCAGTTGCGCAGTGCTGCCCCCCCTTGGACCTCATCCTCGGAGCCTCGGCCTTCGGCGGACGAGCAGAGGACGCTCGCCGCCTCGGCTGCCAAACCCACTCCCTCTCCACGGCGGTCCTTCCTCCCTAACTTCTCGAAGGTCGTCAGGTCGCCCCTGAAGAAGGCAAGCCACGGGCTCAAGG